TAATTCTAATAGAAACTAAACTTGAAGGTATTTTGTGTTCTTTGGCTAACGCAAATTCTCGCAATCTCTCACTTTTAGCAACAGTATTAAATGAAAGTCCCCCATACGCGATGAGATCTGTTAATATAGAGGCAATGGTATCTTTTGTTTGTACAAAATTTCTGATATCTTTTTGGGATGAACTTTGAACTATTTTTGTAGTCGGTAATAATGGCAATTCTATTTTATGTTTTATCTTTGAATGCTTTTGCATTACACTAGTACAACCTTATTTTATTGTTACAATGATGTTACAGGTTTTGCATTTAGCAGTTTTACTTTGTTCTTAAAGATATGCTGCCAAATAAGAAAAACTGCTTGTAAATTCTTGAAAAGTCATTTTAAAATTGGCTTTTTAAAAATTGCTTTGATATAAAATAATGCTATTAAATGTAAACAGATTGACAATCTGTTGTACGCGGATTTAACAACATTATAAAAAGTAATATTTTGTAAAAATACTTGGGAACCGAATACCCGAACAAAATAGATCCAAGTCCGGATCTTAAATTTAGGACACGGGTATCCTGGTCTACCCTTAAGATCTTTTGGTGGTTTCATTTCAATTTATCTTTATTTTAAACTAGTCTTGATCCCAGCTAGCACACTTACATTAGGCCAACGTATGACGTAAAACCATCGCAAACGTCGGCTCTTTTTTCCAATGCAAAACCAACGTTGATCCAATGTCATTTGGTTAATAATAAAGTTATTACCGACGGAACTAAAAACATCTGGCAAATTTACATTTGTCCATTGTATGTAAAAACATCGCAACAAGTTAATTGTTTTTACAATCTAAACCCAACGTTGATCCAATGTATTTTACTCGTTAACCAAATGTATTTACATTCATTGATTCAATGTATATAAAACAACGTTTTTCCAATGCATGTAAAAACATCGCAAAAAGTTGATTGTTATACATTGAATTAATGTCGAGATATATACATTGAATCAATGTTGGGTTTAGATCGTAAAAATTTTTACGATCTAAACCCAACATCGATCCAATGTATATATCTCAACATTGATTCAATGTATATAAATCAATGTTTTTCCAATGTATGTAAAAACATTGCATAAAGTTGATTGTTTTTACGATCTAAACCCAACGTTAATCCAATGTATATATTTCGACGTTGATTCAATGAATATAAATCAACGTTGATCCAATGTATGTAAATAATTCGCAAAAATTGGTTATTTTTACGAACTAAACCCAACGTTGATCCAATATATGCGACCATATATTGCTATTGCGAAATTATATAACTTCCGTGATTATTAAAATATCAAACCACAATCAACGAAAACTTAGTCAATATTTATCCATGAAAATACCGTCATTGCATTCAAAATCTTGGTGGACACCCAAACTAAGCCGTTCTATAAATGTTCTTTCATATTATTTTAAAAAATGGCGGAAAACTGGGTTCACTAAAACTTAAAATCGCATTTTTATTCAATACTGGATGGCACAAAAAAATTTCCGCAATGCTGTAAAAAATGCTCAAACTAAAAACCTGTACAAAGAATACATAAAAATCGAAACGTTAAAAAATACAATTCCAAAGTATTTTTGGAAAACTTTCAGAAGTATAAAAAAAAGATGCAAATTCGAAATTGTATACCATAAATAATAAAAAAGTTAAGGCTCGATCACGAAAGAATTTGCCTACAGTTTTGAAAATCAATTCAACTCTAAAGCAATCACATATAACTCTACAAATTTAAAAATTCCACCTTGCACAAAATTCGACGAGGTAATAATATCGGATGAAAATATAAAAACGGTTATTTCTCGCCTTAAATTAAACAAATCCAAGGACGCCTTCGGAATATCAGCAGAACATTTAAAGAATGCGAGCTGCGAAGCACTAACAAAATGGCTCAGAAAATTTTTAAATTTTTCTATTAATCATTGACAGACCCCAAAATCGATGGCTACATTACTTATAATACCATTTGCTAAATCGTATAAAAAATCCTTAACTGATCCAAATAACTACCGCGGCATTAGCATCATTCCAATCTTTACGAAACTAATAGAATATCTTATCCTACTAATCTGTCCAGAAATAAAAGAAACTCATCCTCTTTAATTCGGTTTCACTAAAAATAGCTCAACCCTACACACTGAGTTTGTTATTAGTGAAACAATTAAACACTACAACAACAACAACTCACCTGTCTATCTCTGTTCCCTAGATGCTAAAAAAGCGTTTGACAACTGCAACTGGGACATTCTGTTTGAGAGACTGTACAATGATAAAAAACTCCCTCTGTATATTGTTAATACCATATTGTCATTATACTATGCAAGCAGTGCTTCTATTTCTTATCAAGATTGCAAATCATATCCTTTCTATCTAACGCAAGGAGTGAGACAGGGATCTATTCTCTCGCCTCATTTGTATAACATTTATACTCAAAACCTACTAAAAACCTTACAAAACGAAAGCGTCGTAGGTACATCAGTCAATGGAAACTATACGGGTGTTGCAGCATATGCTGATGATATTATACTCCTTAGCTCCATCCTCTCTGGTCTACAAAAGCTTATTAATATATGTAATATGTACACACACAAAAACTGCATATAATTAAATGCTGACAAAACCGAGTTCCTGCTCACCGGAAAAAAGCAAATTAAAAACTGCACAATAACTCTCAACCACCAACAAATAAAACTTCATGATAAACTTAGTCATCTAGGCTTTACATGGGATAAAAAAAGCTCACCCTTTGCCTCACTTAATAAATCAAACATTGATCACCGAATATCTAATTTCCGGACGGTAATCCGAACCTTAATTCAATCAGGAATCCGTTTTGCTCACCCAAACTCCATTGTTCAGTTATATAAAACTTTAGCTGTTCCAACACTAACGTGTGGTCTTGAGCTGTTTGAACATAAAAAAATGTTAATGCAAAAGCTTGATATAGTTGGAAAAAATGCACTTAAGTCACTCCTTTATGTTTCAAAGTATATCAAAAATTATATTTATACCTTATTTTTTATTGAAGATGTATCAATTGTTTATATTTATTTATTCGCCTGATGAACAATAAAATGACATATTATATTATTAAGTCGCAGCTGAAAAACGAAACAGCCCCACAACATTTTTTAGATAGTATCAAAGGCTTGTGCAATAATCATGAACTAAATCTGGAGACAATAATGGAAAGTAAAAAAAAAAATAAAAATTATCGGCCTCAAAAATTTAATTCCTGCGACGGATCTTCAAACTCTAAAATGTGCAGTTGAGTGCTGGAACTTAAAAGAGCAGAAAACTATCTTCTAGGACATTCTTGAAAAACATATTCCTAGATGATCACGTTAAAAAAAAAAAAAAAAAAATTTCAATAATTTTTATATTTATCTTGTATGAAACTCTTAATTTACCTTACTTGTATAGTGGGTGTTTAATAAGTCTAAATAAAAAAAAAAATACAAACATGATTTTTGTTCCTATGATCAAGCGTTGGTAATCTTAAACATATTTATATATACACAATGTTTAAGTCGTATGTATATGTATATGAATATACGTATATGTATATATATATATATATATATATATATATATATATATATATATATATATATATATATATATATATATATATATATATATTTACGGTACGGTATACGAAGCAGCGGAGTTGTTAAGCACAAAAATCTTTCAATTCAAATCTATGTTTAAAGCCCCTCTTAAAAGCCCCGAAAATTTTCTATTGTTAAATAAAAGTGAACTTAAACCTAAATGCAATTATAATAACAACTTAGATTTTTTCATTGCAGACATTATTAATGAACTTAACAATCTAAACCCTTATAAATCTTTTGGACCTGACGGGTTGCACCCTTTAATACTTAAGATATGTGCCAAAAGCTTCGCAATTCCGCTTACAAAAATCTTCTATGAATCTTTTAATTCTGGAATAGTACCAACTCTCTGGAAATTAGCAAATATTAGTCCAATCTATAAAAACAAAAGGAGACAAACTACTTCTTGAAAGCTATCGCCCTATTTCTCTTACCTCTGTTGCTTGCAAAATATTTGAAAAAATTGTAAAGAATACAATCTTGAAGCACATCAATGATAACAATCTATTCTCTACAAATCAACATGGCTTCCTTCATCATAAGTCTTGTGTAACCAATCTAATAGAGACTTGATATTATTTCGTCATCCCTAGCATCGGACCAGTTTATAGATGTAATCTACCTCGACTTTGCGAAAGCTTTTGATTCCGTACCTCACACCAGACTCATGTTAAAATGTATTTTATATATGATGTATATTATATATAGTATCTTTTTGCATGAAAATGTTTTTGAAGTTTTGATTTCATTTGTGCATAAATATTTTATGCAATGCTACGGGTAGATTAGAAATATTAAATTGAGTTATAAGTTTTTATTTTTTTATTTTTATTTTAGATTTCCAAATAGAAAACCTAAAATAGGTTTATAAAAGAAAGTTGTTAGAAAAAGAAACAAATACCTTTTTTTTTTTAAAGTAGAAAATTTCAATGGAAAACCGTATTTTATTGGTATAAGTCTTTTGTAAGGTTTTCGGGAGCACTTTAACCAACTATGGCGGCACGCATGCCAGTTATTTTGAATGTATTGTTATTTGCCAAGTTAGAAGTTTATATAAATAAAGGAAGTTTAAAATTTGCATTTGTTGCTCACACAAAAGATTTTTTTTTAACTTTTAGACATTAAAAAAGATTACTAAAAATAAAAAAACAAAATAAATTTAAAAAACTCATAACTAAAAACATTTAGCATAAAAGTGTCATAAAAAGTTTTAAAATTTTAAAATACAATTTTATTAATTTCATTTAATCAAATGAATTAATATAAAATCTTGAAGACGAACCAACAGGAAGCATGGCGCATCTGCTCCTAATTTGTGCGTTTGTTTATCAACCCGACGCTGTTTATATAGTGCCAAACTTCCTAAACGCGGCTTAAGGCTGCCATCTTGTTATATATAGGAGGAAGTTAAGTAAAGATAAAATTTAAAATCCTTATAATTTCTAATCTAGGCGCTGATATTTATTATGACTCATAAAGAGTTTTTTGTAGTAATGAATTGATACATTTATTTCCGAAATGAACGGTCTTTCATTTTCAGAACTATGTTGTCTATTCTGTTGCCCGCCGTTTCCTTCAGTTATTGCTTCAAAATTAGCATTTCTTCCTCCAGAGCCAACTTATACTATTCAAGAACTTGGAGACGGCACTTGGGCTCTTCATCTTAGTGAAAGAGCAGAATGGCAATATGGTCAGAAAGAGTTAGACTGCATTGAGGTCTTTCAGGCAAGAACAAACCGAGGAAACAAAGTTACTTGCATGTATGTAAGATGTTCACCTACAGCCAAATTTACTTTATTATTTAGTCATGGCAATGCCGTAGACTTAGGTCAAATGAGTAGTTTTTATATTGGACTTGGAACAAGAATAAATTGCAATATATTTTCATATGATTATTCTGGATATGGGCAAAGTAGTGGAAAGCCAACAGAAAAAAATATATATGCAGATATTGATGCTGCCTGGCATTCTATGAGGACTAGATATGGAATAAGCCCTGATAAAGTGCTACTCTACGGACAAAGTATAGGAACTGTTCCAACTATTGATTTAGCATCTCGTTTTGAATGTGCTGGCGTTATACTACATTCACCATTAATGTCAGGAATGAGAGTTGCCTTTCCTGAGACAAAAAAAACATATTGTTTTGATGTTTTTCCAAGGTGAGTCAATTATGATTAATTTTTTTTTTCTAAATTTTTTATTCTGTAATAATGTAGTGTAATGTTTAACTTTACTATAGGATAAAAAAGAGCATTATATTCATATAGTTTATGCTTTCATATTTTTCTAGTTTATTTTGTGAATAAATAGAAAATTCAAAGTTGAATTTTATTTTTATCAAACTCATTTTTCTATAAAAATGAATAATATATTATAAAAGAAAAAAGCCATACAGTGTTGAGACCAAAAAGCTACATAAAAAATTGATTTAAAAATTATAAGGCTCGGAGGCAGTCTGGTATTATTCTGCAACAACATATTAAAAGCATACACCCAGATATTTTATTAAAAAAAAAAAAGATTTTTAATGATAATGACAAATAAAAATTTGATAATTTGTTATATATTAAATTTTACCTAAGTGTAGCTTGCATAAATATATTGGTTATAAATAATTGTCATAGTTACTTTGTTGTTATAGTTACATACAATCAATTAATTTTTTACATAACTTTTAATCATATTTTTACATAACAACTAAATAATCAATTTTTTAAATTGCTAAATTATAATCGAAGTTAAAATCTCAAAATATGCAAATCAAATTACTGCTAGCCGGCTAGTTAAAGCTAATATAAAAATGTTGTACAAGAATTTCAAATTATATATTATAAATTAAAAAAAGTTTCTTTGTTTAAATAAGTTAGATATTTAATTAATTTAAATTGCTAATTTTGACTTGACCAGATGGCATTTTGATAAATGTTAATCTAAACAAAAACCTATTTTACAACTCTTTAATTCAGCATTGCTATAGAATTTTTAATCTTAAAATCTTTTTATTTTTATTTTTGCATGGTACTGTTATTATTATTCATCATTCACTATTCATTTTTAAATTTATGTGTAAAGTATCAAAGTATAAACTGTTTATTTCGCATTTTTCTGAATTGAATTTAAATTTATTTCTGATAATGTAAAATTTAGAAACAAGTTAAAAACCTAAATATCTGCATGATATTCTGAAAATAGAATAATAAAACTTAAAAAAATAAATAATAAAACATAAAAAAAAAAAAAAATGCTTGAACTGGTTTTAAAAAGTAGTTATGAGAAACATTTATAACAAATTAAAAAACTTTGATGACTTATTTAAAGTTTAATATCAATAATTATACTTAAACTTTAGGTGCTATAATTTAACTGTTTCACATAATCCAATGTAACCATTTAAAACTGATAATTTACCTCTAACTACAAAACTCTTTCTTTGTAACTGTCTTTTTATGTAAATATTTCTACTCAAATTAATAAGTGCATTTTATCTCATGTTTTAGATTTCAATGCATTACTGGATATTGTTTGTAAATATTTACTTTGCAAAGGGCGTTTCATTAATCATATTTTTTTGACTTTTTTGAAATCTTTCACCAGGTTTAAAGTTTACTTTAGGTCACTGTCCTGTTAAAATATCTATCCTTGAGACATTTCGTCTTAAGTATGATAGCATAACATTCTTAATTATATTCCTGCACATATTTTTGTTTATAATGGCATCAATCAATTGCAAAAGACTGACACAATCTATATTGAAGTAATCTAAACCATAATAATTTCATGCCCATGCTTTACTGTTGGTATTTAGGATAATTTCTATATTCTTTTGGATGACAAACTTATCTAATTACAACAGATCTGTACAACTTAAACTTTAATTCATCAATAAAAAGTACTTTTGGCCATTGTTCTCTTGTCCAGTTCAAAAACTGACAATTTTCATGTGTTCTTTTCTATTTTTTTATAGAAATAAACATTTCTATTATAAAGTATGCGGGCCTCTGCCCCATTCCTGGCTTGAATTGAGGCTTTTTGGAAACTTGTCCCTTGCACCAGCAAAATTTTAAGATTTAACAGGGCTTGATAGCTGGGGCTAGAAAAAAGTTTATAGTATTTTTTGTATAATAGTTTTTTACTTACATAAACTATTTAATTATGGGTATATATTTATATATTTTCAAATTCTAATTTACTTCCTACAAGATTGCAAGCAACCAGATGTGGAAAAAGTAAAAATAAATTGTACTCAAGTTGAAGTCCTGTTACTTCAGTGAAATTTTACTCAAGTACAAGTATAAGTTACCGGTCAAAAAGTTTACTCAAGTAAATATAAAAAATGGCTTATTAAAAATGTACTCAGAGTAAAATTTACTGTGTTAGCTTTTTAACAGCCTGTCAGATAACAAAGCTGTTGAATAAAAAACAAAAATCATGTCTATTCTTTTCTGTATAAACTTAAAAAAAATTATAATAGTAAAATTTTGTTATGGTTGTAAAAAGTGAAAAGAAACCAAGTTAAAACAGTTAAAAGTTGTTATGTGCGTGGTTAACTTTTTTTTTTAAACAATTTAAAAGTGTCATTTTTATTTAAGTGAGCGAAACTCATGATTTCAAATGTAGCGAGTTACAATACTTTAGAAAGAAAAAAAACTTAAGTAAAAGTAAAAGTACATATTTAAAAAAATACTTAAAAAGTAGAAATTCTTAAAATAACTACTCAATCATAGTAACGTGATTGGCAGGTACAGTAAGCGGATCCAATCTGTTGAATAAAAAACAAAGTAAGAATGAATTTTAGTTATCATAATAAAGATGATAACTTGTTTGAGCATTGACCATGATAGTATTTGTAGAAAAAAGTAATATTTGTAAAAAAAAATCCAACCTTACGATACTGTGAGAGTGACTCAAGCTTGGCAGATAAAGTAGGTCTAACCAAATTTACAATTTTTATATTTTTTCTCAGAGTAAGAGGGTTGTTAATCGTCAATATAGGAATGTTAATAGGAAGATTGGAATATTTTTCTGCTGTAAATGAGTATTGTTGTCTAACAAAAATTGTGGGTTTTAAGTCCAGACTTTAAATCTACAAGCAACTACAAACCATAGGCTGTTACAGAAGAGAGATCAAATTAAACACTGGCTGCTTGTTCTAAGCAATCAAAAAGTGAAGATTTTTTTTCAAGACAAGAGTATAAAGTTGAGTCAGCAGTGAATAGAGCCACTATATATAAATAGAAAGTTGAGGAGTTGCTTAATAAAGCAACTCCTCAAGATAATGAAAAATGTGGAGTAGAATGATGGCTTAACTTAAAATTAAAGAGAAGGAATAGAAACTTCTAAACTTTTATTCCAGAAGAACCAAAAAAAAAAGTGCTTGATGCATCCATTTTATGGATATAAACATATATATTTGCAATTGTCAGTTTAGATACAGGCATACAATATTCTTTCATATTAATATAAACTTTATTATTTATATGGTGTAGTATTTGCCCATAGAGAAGATAATCAGATGGATGTGTGGTGTGACTCTAACAAGACAAGAAAAGAAGGCATCTCAGACAGAAAAAAGTGTCGTATCGAACAATGTTTGTTAGAGAAGGTTAAAGAGATCCCCAAGTGCCGAGACAAGTTGTGTTCATATTAAAGAAAATGTTTGATAAAAATGTTTGGGTTAAACTTTTTAAAAAAAGTTCACGTTTTAGTCGAAGCTCGCTGTCTCCTTTTTTTTTTTTTTTTCTTAGAGTCTGTATAATGTTAGCCGTAATCTGCAAACATGATAATTTATTCTATGCGTGTTTAATTCATAACATTTTGGGTACGTTGTTGTGTTTTTAAAGATATAAGTGTTTTTTCTACTACAATCAGAAAATCAAGTATTTGTGTAATTTTTTACCTAATCACAAAAAATATTTGTGATTTAGTAAAAAATTTTACAAATATATATATATTTTTATATTTATAATTTTTTTTTAACTTTCTTGATTATTACTTTATTTTAGAAGCCAGCCAAAATCATGACACAATTATAAATATTTTGTGATTGTTAGAGTTTGCAGATAGAGAAAAAATAAAGGCAGTATGATGCTGTTTCTCGTTTTATATTTAGTTCATATGGTTTAATAGAGTTGTTTGTTTTATGTTTAATATACATTTAGTTATGGTTCAACTCTTTTACTACCGCAAGCTGCTGGTAGCGGTTTTCGAGTATGCTTCACAATTTATCTTGTTTTTACATAAATTTCCATTCTAGATAGATGATTTGTTTGTTCTAAAGGTTTAATTTATTTTCTACATAATCAAGAAAAAATAGGAGCTGTATTGAGTAATTATAAAGTTATCACTTGATAAAGTTATAAAGCTTGAATAATCCTTCATAAAAACTTCTTTATATTTAGTTATAGAGTAAAAAAATGTTAACTCTGTAAATTTTAACTTGTGGAAGTGTTAAGTATTTAATTAAGTAATTACCTAAGTCTTTTAAAGAAAAAATATTCTTTTTATTCATTAAATGAGTTTTGTTGGACTTAATGTTTTGTTTGGACTTAATGTTTTAGTTACTATTTATAAAAACAATGGTTTTAAGCACTTTACATTTCTTATTGTCTTTATTGTTCAGTGATACGTGTTAAAAACTAATTAAAAAGTACTTTTATTTAACTTTCTATTTATAATATAGTTTGTTATGCTTTTAAAGAGATTTACTATTCAAATTTTAATTAATTGTCAATGTTATGCCATTCAAATTTTATTCAAAAAAATGTGCGATGACTACAAAAAGATTTTTTCTTCATCTGGTAGCAAATGAGTTAGTGCGATTCTTTTTATATTTATTATAACTAACTTTTTTATATTTTAGTACAAATATTTGTTTTAACTTTAATATAGTTCGATTCGTACGGTTATTAGTAAAATAATTTGTTTAATATTTATTTTCTATCTAGTTCAGTTTATGTTTTAATTAAGTCACTAGTTTTTTATTCAATTTATACTTTAAATTAATTTATACGCTTTAGTAAAATTATTCTTTTAGTATCTAGGTTTTACTGCAAATATTCGTTATATATTAAATTTTTTTTTTTTTTAATTTTACAAATTTAATATTTAATTGTATCACAAACTTTTTTTTTGGACTAGTAAAAAGTTATACAATTATATA